ACATTCAATGCAATCCCAATGCAGATCCCATCAACATTCTTTAGGGATATGGAAAAACCAATCACTAACTTTATATGGAAAGGAAAGAGACCTCGAATAAGCAAAGCACTATTGAAGAAGAAGAACAAAGTAGGAGGTCTCACACTTCCGGATCTCAAAACCTACTACACAGCCACAGTAGTCAAAACTGCCTGGTATTGGTATAATGACAGACACATAGACCAATGGAATAGAACTGAGCACCCAGAAACAGATCCAGCATCCTATGGTCAGCTGATCTTTGACAAAGGGCCAAAACCAATTAAATGGGGACAAGAATGTTTGTTTAATAAATGGTGCTGGCAAAACTGGAGATCCATTTGCAGAAAAATGAAACAAGATCTATATCTCACACCATACACAAAAACTAACTCCAGATTAAATGTGAAACCTAAAACTATAAAGTTCCTCAAAGAAAAACTAGGGGCAAAATTAGGGGCCCTAATATATGGCATAAATAGACTATCAAGTATAACCCAAAATGCACAAACAGCAGAAGAGAAACTAGATGAATGGGGCCTTCTAAAAATTAAATTTTTATGTGCTTCCAAAGACTTCTCCAAAGAGGCAAAAGAGAACCTAAAGATTGGAAAAAAATATTTGGCAATGACATATCTGACAAGGGACTTCTCTCTAGAATCTATAGAAAATTCCAACACCTCAATAACAAAAAGACAAATAATCTAATTAAAAAATAGGCAGAAGACATGAATAGACACTTCACTAAGGACGATATTCAAGCGACCAACAAACATATGAAGAAATGCTCACTATCATTAGCCATTAGAGAGATGCAAATCAAAACAATGAAATACCATCTTGCTCCAGTACTAGTAGGAAAGTTCAACCAGATACAAAATAACAAATGCTGGCGAGGATATGGAGAGATTGGGACTCTCATACACGGCTGGTGGGACTGTAAAATGGTACAACCACTGTAGAAAGCATTTAGGCGATTCCTTAAAAAGTTGGAATTAGAAATACCATTTGACCCAGCCATTCTATTACTAGGTATATATCCTAAAGAAGTGAAAGCCATGACAAGAACAGACATATGCACACCCATGTTCATCACAGCACTATTTACAATAGCCAAAAGATGGAAACAACCTAGGTATCCATCAACTGAGGAATGGATAAACAAACTATGGTACATACACACAATGGAATACTATGCAACACTAAAGAATAATGTAGAATCTGCAAAACACCACATAACATGAATGAACTTGGAGGACATTCTGCTGAGTGAAATAAATCAATCACAGAAGGACAAATATTGGATTGGTTTGTTATTGTAAAAATCAAGGAAAGGTTCATCTATGGAAGGAAATTTTCTTTGTTGGTTACCAGGGGTGGGAGGGGAGGAGAGGGAACACTGTTAGATAGGTAGAGAGTAGTATTGATCTGAGTGAAGAGAAGGGCAACGTACCAAATGTGAGTGATCAACATGGTGGCATTGAGGAAGAGGAAGACATAGAGAGGTCAACAAAGATGAACCCTTTTGCACATACAGTACAGCATTGTCAGTGAAGGCAAACATGGCTAAGGAAAGGCTGTTTACACACAGGGAGACAGCTTAAGGGGCAGGGGTGCATGGAGGGATGGACACAGGGAAGAGATGACTGTCGGGAGGAAGTGGAAGGGGAGCTGTTGCATTGTGGTAAATTGTGGTGAATGTCATGAGAACTGCTGTATGGAAAGTGAATTTGCCTTGTAAATTTTCACCCAAATCACAATAAAAAATAAAATAAAACACCTTACCCCAGTCTTCATCACTTGTCCTAGAAAAAGAACGGTCCCTCAAAATCCTAAAAAATTTATATTAGTTAGAATTAGGAAAAAGAAGAAGAAAAATATACTTTATTTAAAAAATAATACTACTTTGCATGAACATTACTATAAATGAGAAAATACCCACCCAGCATTGTTGATCACAACATCTGCAATAAAAAGATTCACATCATAAATATAAAAGTAAGCATATTCATTTGCATTTGCTTAGAACTGATATTTCTTCCAAAATTGTTTTTTCAAGGAAAAGTAAATACACTAGGTAAAAACTGCTATTAAAATAAAATTGTACAACTATAGCCAAAAAAAATGATCTACATGTAGCTCCTTCCTCTCAAACTCACATATCTCAACTTTTCTACCCTTACCTTCTGTTGAAATTCTAAAAGCTTATTCATAAGATATGCTGTTGCACAACCCTAGGTTGTTGGATAGTAACCATAAGCTATCCCTCATTTAGCCTCAAAATCCACTCAGAAATTTAAAAGTTTAAAAATTTTTTCCTTGCCACTCAAAAGTCTTAAGCCCAGAAAGGAAACCATTAGTCAGAAACTGATGCTCCATCTTGCTACATAATTGTATTCTCACCATGTAAAAAGAAGAATTATGTCTTTTAAGGTTTAACCACCATCCTGTTAACTCATTCTATGACTTCACACTTATGGTCTCCTCTACCTCTCCATCAGCTTATATGTGAATTTTGTTGTTAGGTGCCATGGAGTCAGACCCGACTCATAGCGACCCCTCCTTGGGTTTCCGAGGCAGTATCACTGTGGAAGTAGATTGCCCAACCTTCCTTCCAAAGAGTGGCTGGTGGGTTTGAACCACCAGCCTTCTGATAAGCAGTCAAGTGCCTTAGGCACCAACCTACCGGAGCTCCAGTCCAGGTACCTAGGGCATCCCAGCCCAGAGGTTTAAAGACCCTCGAGGGGTCCCCTGACCACTGCACTTCTGGGCTTCAGCAGGCCCGAGGGGAGTCGGGCGATACATGAATACATCTCTTAAATGATGTCAACCAAACAAAATTAGAAAATCACATATGCTAGACAAAAAAGGGGAGGGCTGAATATTCAAATTACAAAATCGAATGCTTTTCAGATTATAAACATATTAGACTTATCTGTAATAATGTTTCCCTTTATTAAATCAATAATATTTTATTAAGAGTGTGTAGAACTAAACCAGGAAGATTATTTAGAGAAGGGTGAACTAAAAATATATAAAAAGCTCGTTAAAAAAATATTTTTTATTGGAAACCCAAGGAGGGGTCACCATGAGTCAGATACAACTCGACAGCAGTGGGTTTAGTCACTAGGTAATTTTGTATACAATTCATCTTAATTAATTTATATGATACTGAATCATTTTAGTCATATAAATCATATATAATTATCCAAAATCATATAAATAATTATCCAAAATAATAATATAAATAATTATCCAAAAGAACCCACTGGGTCTTCTATTCCAAAACTTGATTTATTTTTATTTTATAAACATATTTACGGTTTAACTAAATTATGAAAAGGTCACTGAGAGAATGCTTGCAAGTTTATAAAGTACTTAAAGTGCATAAAACAATACAAAAATTGTCACTTAAAGCTCTTTGTGCAATAATGTAGGATTGTACAATAATTAAATAATTTGAAAGACAAATCTAAAAATCTGATTATCAACAAGGAAAAATTTGTTTAATAAACAAAAGTAAAATCCACAATATTTTATTAGGAAGGTAGTAACTGCTTTGTAAGGACCATAAACTCAAAGAAACATCACCTATTCTTCCAAAAGCATCCAATGCTGTCTTCACAATCTTCGCCCCTGCTTCCACTGAATCTGAGGTGAACAGGAAATTAGTGAAAACCATCAGTAGTCTCTCTCACAAATGACTTCTAAATTCTATGTATCCAAACACGACAGACACTATTATCCAACAAAACTCATTCCGAGGAAAATTAAATTTATATTGCAGGTACATAACAAATCAAAATACAGATTGTTGTTGTTGTTGTTATTTGCCATAGAGTCGGCCCCGACTCCTAGCGACCCCTCCTTGGGTTTCCGAGGCAGTTATCACTACGGAAGTAGGATTGCCCAACCTTCCTTCCGAGGAGTGGCTGGTGGGTTTGAACCGCCAGCCTCCTGGTTAGCAGTCAAGTGCCTTAGGCACTATGCTACCAGAGCTCCCCAAAATACAGATGGTCTAATGTAAAAGAAGAAATTCTGCTCCTAAAACACTCTTTATTAAAAAAAAAAAAAAGGGGGGGGGAGAAGGTATAAGAAATATTTACCAAATACTATATAAGACAGCACTGTGCAATGTAACGTTCTGTAGTGATGGAAAAGAGATCCTGAGTGGCACAAACAGTTAAGCACTCAACAACTAACTAGTCAAAAGATTGTTGAACCCACCCAGAAGTGCCTCAGAAGACAGGCCTTGCAATATGCTTCCAAAAGGTCACAGCCTTGAACGCTCCATGCAGCAATTCTACTCTGTACACATGGGCTGCTATTTAAGGGTTGTTTTCTGAATTGGAACAGACTCATTAGCAACTAACAAGAGTGATGAAAACGTTCTATTTCTGCACTAATCCAGCAGTCACAAGTGACTCTGAGGGCTTGAGATGTGCCCAGTGCAACAGACTTATTATTGTTAAAATGCTTATTTTCATTGCATTTATGTATAGTTTTAAACAGTCACAGAGATACTCTGCCCTAAAGATGCAAATCAGAATTTGGGGAGGACTCCAGGTAGGGAGATGCATGTATAATCTGCAAAATTATAATATGTCTAATTTTCAATGTTATATAACTAAAATGGAAAAACAACCCTACTGTTTTTGTAATACTAACTACAGAAAGTAAATCTCAACAAAATCTTAAGGCTTGGTTATTTTTTACTAATCAGCAATTCACGGAGGAAAGGGCTCACACTCCTACCACTGTGTGCCAAATAGTCTACTATAACTTAACATTACCACTGCTTCTTTCTATATTCTCTGCAGTCACAAAGGAGGAGTCACAGAGGAGGGCTGGTGATCTCCTGAAAGGTCAGTGTCTTGGAAACTCTATGGAGATTCTACTCTACACATATGAGGTCACAGTAAGTCAGAATTCACATGAACTTTTTTTAAATTCTATTTTTTAAAAAATCAGAAGGTTGCGAATAACAGTAATTACTTGTATGGAGTGGAATACGAAGGCCAGGTATACAAAGGGGACATTTCAGTTCTTACACTATAGCTTTAATTTTTAAAAAACACAATTTTTAAAAGAAGAACAAAAACATACCCATATCCATGTATATAATGATTATGATTACATCATGTGCTCATTTATCAAAAAACTAAATAAGCAATAGAAAATGTTAGAATTATAGCCAACTTGATACAATCTAATGTCATAATTATGCTAGAATGCTGAAATATTTGTTCAGTGTTCATTAATGTAAGCAAAAGTACTAGTTGAAGAAAACTAAAAGACATAGTCTATTCTTTCAAATACCATACCATAGTTGGCCACTGCTTTTCCACCTTTCCTTCTTATTTCTTCAACAACTTTATCAGCAGCTAAGGAGCTTTTACCATGTCCTTTAAAGTCTCCTCCTAAATCATTCACTGCAATACAGAAACAGCAACTTAAAAATTTGGTCAATTATTTCTTAATCACACCATAATTTCTCACCCTTCAATATAGAAGTTGAAATTGACATTTGACTTAGTAGTATATTTCTTCAGTTATTTTCCCATTTCCCTCCTACTATAACCCCATCTTGCTAAATACAGTACAAGATATGTACTTTTTTAAAACATGTCCTTGTTTTTGAATAAAGAGAAAAAGCAAAAATACTTAAGAAACATAAGTTCAGGTCATGAAGTTTCTAATTTTGCAATTATTTTTCTTTTTTGGAAAGAGAAAAAAATGATCCACTTTTTGGCAATAAAAAATAAAACTTGAAAATCACTTTAAGATAAAACACATAATACGAATTTTCTTCTCTGTGCCAAGAAAGCCTATGCTTATGGGAATGGTGTAAAGGATTCATAAAATATTAAACTATTAAACAGAAACACACTTGTAAATTTTCACAGAACACAACATGCCATGGTCTGGGAACAAAAGAAATAAAAAACATTTATTGTAAGAGGCTGAAAAAAAACAAAACCTTAAGTGGCTTCAGTTATTAATTTATACCACGTTCCATCTTTATATGTTTTAACAACCAACCACACTTACCACCTAATAGTTCCATACACCTAATCATGTAGTTACTAAAGGTCTCCTTAGATGACAATCATTACAGTTCTAATAATCAGTTAATAACCATTAAATGAGCACTTGAGATTTGCAAGGAAATCACTAGAGGTACATACAGATGTTTAAGAATAGCACTTGCCCTCAAAAAGTTTATCATCTATTGAAAGTTAAGTATGTGATGACCATGGTAATGAATAGATTTTAGAGTGAAATATGCAAATCAAAGGTCAACACAATGAAAAACAAATAATCCCCAACATACAATTTATTTTAAGTTGTGACGAATCACACTTGTAACCTTTTTTTTTTGGTACACCTTATCATTAGTAATATGTACTACATACACTGTTGCAGCATGTAATATGCTGATGTCATTTTATCTGTAAATTTATATGTAATGTCCCCAACCCCCAAAGACAAATACTAGATTTAGATACTGATGGTGAAAGGTAATAAACCTAAGATAACCTTTTAACCTGCAACTGAAGCCCCCCTGGAGGTCACCTGTCAGCCAAGTAATAGATTGGCCTATAAAATAAACAATAACACCTATGAGGAATGTGCTGCTTTGAACAACATGAGACCAAACAATTGACATTTATACAAAAGCAAGGATGAGAAGGCAAGGAGAAGGAAGGAAACAGGATGGATGGAAATGGGGCAGAGAGGTAGAAATAGTGAGAGTGCTAACACATTAGGGGGACTGTTGCCAATGTCACTGAACATTTTATGTATGAATTGTTGAATGGGAATCTAATTTTCTATGCAGTCTTTCACCTTAAACACAAAATATTCACAAATGAAAACATAAATAAAAGACAATAATCTAACTAACTCACTGCCGTCGAGCCAGATCTGACTCACAGAGACTCCTCCTTGGGTTTCCAAGGCGGCATCACTACAGAAGTAGATCGCTCAACCTTCCTTCCCAGGAGTGGCTAGTGGGTTTGAACCACCAGCCTTCTGGTTAGCAGTCAAATGCCTTAGGCACTACGCTACCAGAGCTCCTAAAAGACAATAATAATGAAAACTAAAAAAAAAAAAGAAAAAAATTGAAATATTTGACTTACATCAGAACCGACTTACAGTGGAGTCATCAGAATGGAACCCCATTGTAAGTTGGGGATTGCTGGTAGGTACATTTACATAATCATTTGACACAAAATTTACAAAATAATATGCAAAAATAATAAAAAGATATAATACATCAATGGCAAATAACTTTTTTTAAAAATTTAAGAAAAATACTTAGGAAAAAACATTAACAATTTACATTGAATTTTTGCAGTGCTACTGGATAAATCAATTATGAGGAGTATAATAAAAACAATTACTAGTTAATATATGACATGGCTGTATACAGTCAAGTTTAAGGTATTTTAATATTACCGGAAGTGATGATTGCCACACTTGGGGCGGGAGCCTTTTTATTCTTCTTCTGAAGAATGACTCTTGTTTGTTGATTGGAGTGGGGGTTGCAAGTGGGGTTGGGTGGTGAATGAGGTAGAGGTGATACAAAGAAAAAGACAATGCCTAGCAGCACTTAAAATGAGCTAAGTCAATTTTTACTTTTTTTTGTTTTTTAAGAAAATTACTCTTTCAAACTGTAAACCAGGATATATTTTTTTCTAGAAATATCGTTTTCTTACCATTACTGCAAAAATTACCATTACTGCTGCAAAGACACCTAATAGAAAGAAGTTTACACTATCCCTTGGAAAGAAAAAAAAAAGATTCTCAAATTCTGAATTTCTATTACTTGTTCATTTTCATGTGATTACTCAAATGACAGTAAACAAGTGAAAACATCAAAATGTTAAAACATGCAGTTCCAAGTCTTTTATGACCGACCCTTTAAAGCAAGCACAGGAAAGTTCAAAAGCAAATGGGCAACATTTAACTAAAGAAAGAATATTCAATTGTGAATGAAACACTACCCCCAAGTGGAAATTATACAAAGTGCAGCAAAACAAGATAGCACTAAAACCAAAACCAAAACCAAACCAAATCTACCCCATTAAGTAAAATAGGAGCTCTGGTAGCATAGTACTAAGGCACTTAACTACTAACCAGAAGGCTGGTGGTTCAAACCCACCAGCCACTCCTCAGAAAGATTGGACAATCTATTTCTCTAGTGATTTTTCTACTTCTCTAGTGATTCTTCCTCGGAAACCAAAAGAGTCATTGGTATGAGTCAGATCCAACTCAATTGCAGTGAGTTTTGATTGAGAGAAAAGTACTGGCTTCAAGTTTGAACGGCTTGGATAGCAACAACGTTTAAAAGGGAAAAAAAAAAAA